TATATATATATATATATTTAATTTTCTTAGGGAAGTCCTACATGTGAATTTTTCTTTGCAAGGAGACTAGAAAGTGTGTATTAAATTTTGAAGCAGTCCAACTATAAATGTTACCCTCTAAGTCCTTGAAAAGCCACTGGAAACCTCCAAATTAGAAGCAAATACAGTGTGAGGTAGCTTACCTTATTTGTATTATATAATCTATTTTTTTTCAAATTTGAAAGGGGAATTATATTTTCTAGGTACACTTTATAATATTACATGAAGCTAGATACTGACACTAAGGTTTATTTAACTGTGACCTGGAGAACCACATAAATTTAGGGGTTAGTAGGAGGGTGAAGGTGATGAGAAAAGGAGGCAAGTCATGTAACTGTGCTCTTAGTGCATATGTATGTGTGTGTGTGTGTGTGTGTGTGTGTGTGTGTAGAGAGAGAGAGTGAAAAAGAGAGAGCTTAGAAGTATAGTCTCAGAATCTTAGATTCCTTTTAATTATAACTTTCCTATTTATCTCCTAAAATTTGTGGATCCTTCAGGACTGGGAGCTCTGGTGGAGACCTATGTGAAGGCCATCAACAGTGGGGAAGGGCCTTGCTTGGAGAACGCGATGTCCACTCTGGCCCAACGTGAGAACGCAGCAGCCGTGCAGAAGGCAGCCGGCCACTACAGTGAGCAGATGGCCCGGCAGGTGCAGCTCCCCACAGACACGCTCCAGGTGCTGCTGGATGTGCACACGGCCTGTGAGAAGGAGGCCATCTCGGTCTTTATGGAGCGCTCCTTCAGGGACGAAGATGGGAAATTCCAGAAGCAGCTGGTGGTACTGAGTCTTATTTTTCTTCCGTTTCCATTATCGCATGTTTGCTGTACACAACGATTACATTCCGCGCAGTTTTTGCACCTATGTCTTATTCAGTACTTTCCTTAAACTTTCCATTGAAGAGTGGAGCCCTGAGGTGGCTGCATTAAACTTATGGTTCGTGTATTATTTAAGGACAAAGCATTTTGGATTCTCATTGGGAATGGAGTCTCTAAAACTACATGTTCTTCCTCCCACCCCAAATCTCAGGCATATTATGCAGCAGTTTCTCTGGGTGACTGAAGCGTAATCAGTGTAGATGTCCTCCTCAATTCTTATGGTGGATTCCAATAATTCTTAGGACTGCAGACATGCCCAGGGCATTTTCCAATCATCCTTGAGGTGTTCACTTTTTCAGTGCACATTTACCCATTCCTTGCAACTCCATTTCTCTTACCAGACCCCAATTCTACACTGTTTTTCATCCCATATTGCTCTTTGTTGTGTATTGTATCCTTCATGATAGAATTAGGGTCACAATACCATAGAAAGGGGGACAAGGGAGGTGAAAAGATTTAAGATGTGTCTGGTACATGGACCAAACTCTGACAGTAGTGTGAACATCATACTTCATAAACATGATCTGAAAACAATAATGAGAATGGGAAAATGGGATCTATACCAGAGAGGGATGTGGGGAGGGAGGGAAGTAAAAAAAGTCCAAGGTGTGTTATGTACCTGTACTTGCTCTCTAAGATGAATGTAAACTTCTTGCACTGAAAACATGTGCTAATAAAATAGAATTAAAAAAGAAACCATAGAGATGGTAGCACACAGTCCCTTCATTTCACAGATGAGGATTTTGAGGTTCAGGAAAGTTCAAAAGTGTCTCATAGACTTGCAGAAAATTTTAGGGGTTTTGAATAGGTCAAGTATGAATCCTCATTCATCCAATATCTTTTTCTTTTTGTATCAGGAATCAAACTCAGGACTTTAAACTTGCTAAGCAGGTGCTGTGGTGCTGAGCTGTATCCCCAGTCCTCATCTCACATCTTACTTCAACAGAATATTTTCTTAAGAGAAACAGGTTGATGCTCCTACGAGGTCCTCTGGAATTTTACTTCCTTTCTTAAAGATCCTTCTGGTGACATCTCTGTACATCTGTCTTGCAGAAAATAATAGAGAATAAGAAGGAGGATTTCTTGCTGAAGAATGAAGAAGAATCTGATCAATACTGCCAGAAAGAGCTGAATTTTCTTTCTAAAGACTTAATGGAAAACATCTCAGCAGGCAGTTTCTCTGTTCCTGGAGGGCACCAGCTATACATGGACATGAGAAAAAAGTTTGAGGAGGACTATTGCCAAGTGCCTAGGAAGGGAGTCAAGGTGAGCAGCAGTTCAGCCTGGGAAAGTCTAGAGAATAACACCAAAGGGTTTCCAGAACCAGCTGTGAGCAACAAGAGAACAGATTATTATGAAATCTTTTCATTCTTTCCCCCAGGGTTGGGATCAAAACTAGGGCCTCCTGTGTGTGCTCTACCAGTGGGCTGTACCCCAGAAATCACTTTTATCTTTAATGCTGCCTCTTTGCTATATATTCCTTAAAGTAGAAATTTTCATTCCCAAAGAAACAGTAAGGAATTTGAAAAATCAGTAGGGACACAAAAAATTATCCATTTCTTCTTCCAACAAGATGACTACAATGTGCTAAGTGCTGGTGATTTACAAGATTCACTCAGTCTTTGCTCCCCAGGCTGGTGATTTGCATACTGAATGAAGTTACTTATCAACCTAGGAAAATGGGCTACAGAGGTGGTGTTAAGGAACATAATGAAACTGTTATTACTTATGCACTTAATGATAAACTGTTTCCTAGACACTTTACTCTAGCATTTTTACTTTTGAACTGAGTGACCCTGTCACATAAAAATTTTTCAAAAAGAAAAAGCTCATTGGAGGAATAGAGAGGTACAGTTTATGTCATTGGAGAAAAATGCAGAAAAGCAGCAGAGGGTATAGTTCACACAACTGCACCTTATTCTGACTGGCCAGAACCTAGAGCAAGTGGAAGGAAGGAGCTCTGGGGGAAGGATACAGGGAGGGAGATGGGAAGCAAGAGCCATGGAATGGAGGATCTCAGTGAGGAGCTTGATCCCTTTGTAGAGAGCCACTGGAAGCTTAACCATAAAGCAAAATGATGTGCATACATTTATATTGCAGAACCGTTCTCCAAAAGGTAAATTATTTGCTCTTTCTTGGTTTTACAGGCAGAAGAGGTGCTCCAAAGGTTCATGCAGTCACAGGTGGCAATAGAAGAATCCATCCTGCAGTCAGATAAAGCTCTCACTGACCAGGAAAGGGCCATGGCAGGTAAACACAAGGCACAGTTCCCAAGTATGATAGATTCCTGTAATGATTCTGAGAGATCTAAACTTCCCCAAATGGGTAGCATCTTTCCTTCTATGAAGGATGCATGCTGATGAATGTGAAAAATAGTACGGAGGTGTAGTTTTATGTCATCTAGAGTGGTAGCACATTTTCTATCATGTTCTGAAACATGTTCTGGACAGCATGGACCTGTGTGAATTCTGTGATTTTCCAGTGCTACCTTTCATATTTGCCTTAGTCTCTGAGCTCAGGATAATAGAGTTAGTTTTCATTTGTTTTTCTTCCATTTTGAAATTTTCCTGGCACAGTGGAGAAAGCCCTGAAGGAGGCAGCTGAGAAGGAACAGGAAATTTTAAAAGTGAAGTTACTGGAGGAACAGCAAATGAAAGCAGCTCTAGAGAGGACCCTCAAGGAAAATATGGAGCAACTGGAAAAGAAGCTACTGTTGGAGAGAGAAAACCTCCTCAGAGAGCAGAAAATGATGTTGGAGCAACTAATGAAGGTGAGTACGCCTTGGCTCAGCAGTGTCTGGTGTCCCTGGTACCCTTGCAGGATGGTGAGGGTGATATCCAGATCATGGAAGGAGGGACCATCACCATTTGGTGTCTGTAATTTGATAAAGTTCTGAATCTTTGGCTGTTTTTGTTTTAAAGATGACTCCTTTCATTTTGCTCCGTATGTAGAATCTAGAGAATTCACATCATCTTGCCTCCTACAGTTCCTTTAATTAATTCCTCACAGAATGTGAATAGCATTTATGTTGCTATTTTGTGATTTTATAAAGTCATCTTATGAGGGCCTGATTAACCACATTTTCCAGCCATCATTATCCAGTATCAGTAGCAATTGGATTTCATTAACAATACCAGTATTGGGCTGGGGATTTAGCTCAGCGGCACAGCACTTGCCTAGCAAGCGCAAGGTCATGAGTTCAATTCCCGGTACTGGAAAAAAAAAAAAAAAAAACAATACCAGTATTATCAGGGGCTCTACTGTCACCCAAAGATCCAAAGACCTAAAGAGGTAGATCTATGTTGCCATAAAACTATCAGAAATGTTTAGACTTAAAGGCACAGTGTACTGAGAGCTTCTGTCAATAAATGTACTGGTTATTTGCAGATGTCCTATTCACTTTCCAATCTCCTAGACAAAACACCCAATATTCACAACCTATAGAAGGAGAGCTTTATTTTGCATGAGGATTTCAGTCCATAGTTGGCCACCTCCAAGGAAGAAATAGCATGGTACAGGGGCATGGTGAATGAAAAGGTGCTAAGTATGTGGTAGCCAGGAAGGGGAAGAACTGCGACCCAATTGTGACCAGGCCCGCCCTTCTTCCCAGCATATTCAGCTACTGAATTCATTGGATATATCTGCTGATGAGTATAGCACCCCAGTGAGAGAATCTCCTTCCACACACATGAGTATTTTAAGAGATATTTTATGTAAACTGTAATAGTCCATGTGGATAGCCTTCAGGTGTTAGCTTATGACATCAGAGGAATTCTGTCCTTGTCCATAAAGACCACAATTTGTTGTCATACTTGAGCACAGCAGGATTGAATACTGAATGAGAAAACTAACCAATGCTTCCTTCTCACAATATCTGGTCCAATTCAGATAATATTGTTTGTTACTTAGTTATTTTGTGATAATTGCAAATAAATTCAGTTTGATAGTTTTTAAATAAATTATCACTCCTAAAAATAGCAGTATTATAAAGAATGTATTTCTCTCAACTTTTATTCATTTATTTTAGATCAAAATGGATCTGCTTAAAGAAGGATTTAAGAAGAAATCTGAGGCAATGAATAAAGAATTAAAGCATTTGAAAAAGAGAGTCAAAACTACAGAAAGCGATAATGATCCGTTTATTACACGAGCCTTGGGTAACGTGGGTGATGGGACAACTGCAGTACTGAGTGCTCCTGGTAAAGTTATTGGTAAGGTTTTCAAGTTGTTGGGCTCACTTTTTAAGTAAACTTTGATCTTCTTTTAAGAAAATTATAGATTATGGATGTACGTGTTGGCCTATTCTAGAGCACATGTTTTTCATTTTCATTCAGCAAAATTTTAGATATATAAGTTGCTTATTAGGGTGTATCTGTGTCTGGACCATGTTAAAACAAATGCCTGTACCTGTTGACAGATGATATTTGCTTTTAGGCAACACACACTGGAGATTATATATATATATATGAAAGCAATTGAAATATAGCTTTCAACTGCAAAAATTGGAAATTACTTCAATGTCATCTGCATAAACTCATAATATAAATTTTATTATTTGTTAATATTGGTATATAGGAAATGAAATGATAGTGGATCTCTATTTCACTAAGTATAGAATGATCTTGAGGATATAGTAAATTTAAAATAAAAATTAATTAAAACTGTCCCAAATCATATATATATAGTTGCATCAATATTATACATAACATTATTATTGTAAAACACGTATTTACAAGTAAAATATCTTTTGAAAGTTTAATGAGACACTGGCATCTTAGGCTCTTTTAGGGAAGAAAGTGTAGAAATCAACAGTGGAAATGACACATAAATTTCATTACACAGTCTGTTTTTGTATTTGTGAAGAAATCTTGTATTACAAAATTTGGAAATGCTGTAAAAAATTTGAACTATAATACTAGTAATGACAATGACAGTCGAATTGGCTAGTAGACAATGACATTTCTCATTCCTTCAAGAAATGACCCCTGCCAGCTCAATGAGAGATCTAAGACTAAGATATGAGTACAATAAAGCATAAAATTTGCATCCTAATTCTAGTTTTTTGAGGAATCTCTGCACTGATTTCCATAGTGGTTGTACCAGTGTACACTACCACCAACAGTGGAGAGGGTTCCTTTTTCCCCATTGCCCCTCCAACATTTATTGTTGGTTGATTTCTTGATAGTAGCAATTCTTTTTGGAGTGAGGTTGAATCTCAGTGTTGTTTTAATTTGCATCTTTTGAATGAACAATGATGTTGAACATTTTGCCTATATTTATTTGCTGTTTGTATTTCATCATATGAGAAGTGTATATTCATTTCAGATGCTCATTTTTGGGTATTGTGAAATGGCAAGAAATTGTTCAAAATGAAAGAGGAATTAGGGTGACAGAAAGGGGGAGCAAGGGAAAAGGAATAAAAATATAAAGTAGTTATACTGCTAACTTCTCTTAGTTTATTGAAAATAAAGTTTTGTGCTAATGTCATTTGGAGAATTTCTTATGCCTATATCTTGTACTCTGAGTAACTACTTTGAAGATAATGATACGTAATGAATTAATCATTATTATTCTGGTATTATTTTGTTTGAATTTTTCATTTCTTTTCATAAAATAAAATAATACATCTTCTGTTCTCCTTTTAGCCTTGTTTCTTATTTCTTATATTGTTTCAAAATTCTCGTATAAATTTTCCTGTGACTTTTGGAATCTCAATATGTATAGCCTTTACCTCTTGTCTCTGAATTACACATATAAATTGTTAGAAGCATAATGACCACACATGAAAAATATGCACTGGTGAAAAAGATACTGTCATCATTGTAATTTCTTTAAAAAAAAAAAAAAGAGTAAAAGAAGGATAACGTAGTAATGAGGGGGTCAAACCAAATTACAGACAAAGTGGTAGGAAATTATGAATGGTTGTTGTTTTACATATTGTTATCTACAAGATAGTTTCTCAGGAAAACAAATAGACAAATAATAGTGAGTTACAGACAAAAGTGGTAGGAGATTATCAATAGATGTTATACTATACTTTGGTATCTTCAAAGTGGCTTCTAAAGAAAATAAATAGAGCTATACATGGGTGACCAATTGAATAATCATTGACTATTCTCAATGGTTGTTGTAGGAAACACATAATAATAATTATATATCCATTTACAAAATAGCATAGGAACAATACAAACATTACAGAGTTATGGACAGATTAGTAGGAAAATATCAATGGCTGCTGTAATACATGTTGGTATTTGCAAAGTGGTTTCTCAGGAAAATAAAGACATGCAAGAAAGATCTAACAAGTAGTTATAGCCTAAGGGTTGTGAAAAATAGCGTATTACCTCCTCACCAGTGACTCCTTTCACTGAGGTGTGATGACTGGAAGAAAAGTCAGGATTGAAAAGAAGGACCGAGAGATTTGCACCTGTGTCTAGGAACAGGCTGTTTTCTTGTTCCTCTATAGTCATGATTACCCAGGGCTCCTCCATGGAGATAAGTCTGGCCAGAGGGAGAAGGCAGAGTATGCCCCGGGTCCCCTAATTCCTGTCGAACTAACTGGTAGGATGGGTCTGAGCTCTGGGGCCTCTGCTTCAGATGGCAGACTGATCTCCAGTGGTCACCTTTGCATTCCGGGCATGGCGCAGGGGGCTTCTTAGGGCAGTTCCTCTTGAGGTAGCCTGGCTTTTAACAGTGGTAGCAGATAAATGCAGTCGTTGAGTTCTTCCTGTGGCCCCGAGAATCAGAGTTAGGGTCTGTTTCGCTTAGTGCTGAAGCAAAAGCAGCTGCTTTTTCTCGATCTCCTTGTTTTCTCTCCTTGGCCTCCTCCTTGTCACGGCTATGGAATACTAAGGAGGCAATTCTTACTAACATCCCTAGTGAGCCATCTGGGGTGCAAGCCTTTTTTTGTAGCTTTTTCTCTCCAGCCTCCCATCGCACTGGGACCCCACAACCACTCAGTGTCCTTTCCCAACAGTCAACACAGGCAGCAGGAATCTCGGTTCAGACCTCTCCAGAGCTCCATGTGCTCCTCCACCGCAGCCTGTACTGTCAGGAGAAGAATGGCTTCCAGTGGGTCTCCCCAGGTATTGCCAAGGTCCTCCTGGTTTTCAGCTTCCAAACAGCTCTCATGGCCCTGGTCAACTAGACCTCTGACTCTTCGGGCATAGTCTGCATTCTCTTGTTCTCCGAGTACTTGTTCAGCAGCTGCTCCTCCACTGACTTTGGACCTTTCTGGTTTTCAACTGTAGGAACAAGAGCGACCTGTTTTGTGGTGTGTATTCCCAGGGGTTTCTCCATGTTGGGATGATTCATACACATCTGCAGGCGGGCCTCTGCAGCTGGCGTGTGGCAGGTCAATTGAGTCATTGCTTCTCTGTGCCATGATAGTTCTTGACCCTGCAGCAGTGGCTGGCTTGAGGGCTGGTGCGTGCCAGTGTGCACCGCCATGCAGCTTCCTGGGCACCAGAGGCCCCCCTCCTGGGTGCCTGAGTGGCTAGAGGCTGGCCCAAAGCTGAAATTTCATTGTTTGTCTTTCTGTGGTGTCCAGGGCAGAGGGGACAAAATGACTTTTCAAAGCTAGACCTCCTGATGGGAGGTGATAAAGTCTGTCATAAGGAGGCCAGGTCTTGCCAGGTAATCATTAGATTCCAAGCAGATAGTTATAGTAATGAGCTGCACTGTTAGAGTCACAGTCTGTAGGCTCTGTCCAAGGACAGTTCAGAAGACTGATGTCAAAAGAAATAAAGAGAAAAGAATCAAATAGAATAAAGGATGCTTTCCTGGAGTTTGTGAGGTAGCCTCTGTAATATTTCCGAGTCCATACCATTGATCTGAGATAAGTTTAGACCACAAACCCATTGGTTGTTGAGGAAGGTGTGTACCCAGGGTTAAGAACCCTGCAACTCTAGGACAAGGATAATATGATAGTAGTTTCCCAGTTCTCCTTCTAAAACACCTGTGAACATTTACTAAGTAGCTGTGCTTTGAATAAGTTGAAATGCTCCATTATTACTTCACTCAGTAAATACAGAGATCTCAAGCAGAATTCCGGAAATCAAAGGAAAATGAAAATCCAAGAAAGTAGTCCATATGTGAAACAATCTGTATTGACTACATGAAACTATTGTAACAAGATACTTTGATTACAAAAGAGAAGATGGAATCAAAAAAACAATTGAACTCTATTAGGATGGGAGAAGGGAGGAATGGATACTGTACAGCAACTACCTGTGTCTCTCAGTAAATATCTGAAACAAGTGGGACAGAAATTAAAATTCCATCAAACAGTGAACTCCACAGCCCAAAATGGAGTCAAAAAGCTTAAAATGGAGTTTGTTGAGTCAGCACCCTTCAAGGATCACACCCAAAAGATCTGCCCGATGTACGGCAGCTGTCATCACCCTCCTCAGTGCATGACCAGAGCATGCTCAGGCAAATCATTGGATCAAAGGCTCCACATTACAGCATGGATATAATATGACCAATGCATAAATAGAACCCTAGATGGTATGTATTCTCTTATAAGTAATAGATCTTATTACTTGTCCAATGGCTGTTTTGTAAACCACTTAAAAACCCCTACACAAAATGGCCTATTATTATCTCAAGTATTATTCTTGAGATCTCTTCCCTGCTAGTGGAAGCTTGTGCAAGCTAGTGAAAGCTCTACTTTCTTCCATTATAACTTTTCAATAAATTTTCTTGCATCCTGTGTCCTCCACTTCAGTTCCATTCTTCATCACATTGGCTCATTCAACTGTAACATCTGGTGATGTTAAGCCAAAAGGACATTATCAAACGTTGGGAGAGCTCATGGAACAAGAAACAAGGGACTTTACTGCACAGCAGTCCAGAGATCTCACCAAACATCAGAGGCATCAACGCCCCAGAGTTGTCACCAAACACTGGAGGCATCAGAAGCCCAGAGACATTGACAGTCTTTAACAGAAGAAGGTAGTCAGACAACTCAGCAAAAAGAGAGTAACTCACTGTTACCTCTAGTTTCCTTTTTACAAGTGACAAAGATGCCTGTTGAGGGTGCATGATAAGCATGGACCTAACCATGTGGAAATGACTATATTTTGGGGCAAAAGGTTTCTGTCCTTCTGGAGGACAGGAGAACCCTTACCAGTGTGTTGGCCTTACAATTTTTTGTTGACCCTCACAATGTGGAAAGTCTGTGATGGAGACTGTGGCACAGGGTTCAGCAAGGATTGGTGCAAGCTGAGTTGAGCATGGAATAAGCCCACCCATAAGCAAGTTCCTTGGCATAGCTCCTCACTGAATGGGATGAGGAGACCTTGACCCGGCCTGTTGCAGTGTGGCTTTTCTCCATGAAATACTTGGTAGCTGCCCTCAACTTATGTAGCTCTTTGTTTAGCATCAAGGGTGTTTGTGCTTATCTGTGGGTCATAGACTCACACTGAGTGCCTACTTTCCATAGGTTTTAGTAATTTCCCTTCTCCTTTTCTGATTATCTCTCCAGGATTTTGGGTTATCAGACAGTGTTCCACTTGTTTAGTTGTCGATTCTAAATAACTAAGAAAAACACAGTTAACAGGTAGAGTATCTTCTCACAAGGGAAGAGAAATTGGTCTCTTTAAACCTCTTGCCACTGTTTTTGCATGCCCAAGCTGGTGGCAGGCAGTGGCTATTTGTAGGAGCAGCCAAACAGGCTAGCTGACTCCTCTGCTCTGGCAAGTTCCTAAAATTCCACCTAAACCTGTCACTTCCTGGGATAACTTCCTTTTTTTATTTTTATTTTTTATTTTAACAATAAAAAGAGGAAAACATTAACAGAGATACAACATTTTACAAAATAGCAAAAGAACAGTACAGACAATACAGAGTTACAAACAAAGTGGTGGGGAATTAACAATGGTTGTTGGATTACATATTGATATCGTCAAAGTGGCTTCTCATGAAAACAGATATAGACATGCAATACTGGTCAACCAAAGACTCATTGACAGTTTCTTTCACCATAGAAATAGAAGACAGAAGAACGACCATGTTAACTATCCTGTATATACATACATACAAAATTTGTCCTTCTTTCCCACATCCCAGTTGCCCTTTATCCGTGAGTGGTTTCCTATCATTTCACAA